CTGGGGATTCGAACCCGCCACCTTAGGTGTACGTGGCTGGCGCCTTAGCCGGTTGAGCTATAGGCGCCGAGCCTCTAACTTTTTGTAGAGATTGGTTCTCAGCTATTGCTCAGGCTTGTCTTAAACTTCTGGCCTTAAGTGATTTTCCCAACTCAGCCTCTCAAAGTGCTAGGATTAGAGGTGTGAGCAACCACACCCAGCCTAAGTGCTATTCCATGTAATTGTGTAACATAATACCTGGTAAAGAATAAGCCTTTGATGGTGTCTATTATTACAAGTGGTAGGATTATTGTGCTAATTCTGTTTTTAGAGAAGTTGTGAAGTATAGTAAATAGATCACAGTAAAGTGAAGAAAACTTCTAGCTTAGTTTCCTATAAACATTTGTATTACTCAGCATCAGAGGCAGTCCAGTCCTCAATAAAGTATTAATAATAGTCTTTTACTTCCCACCAAAGTGTTATAGTTCTTGAAGTTACCTATATGAAGAAAAACTAATAAACTTGACTAAAAATTATATTACTATTGCATAGTGATGTAACATATTATATTGGAAGTTAAATAATGTCACCAATTACTCAGAGTACTGCCAAATAAAATATAGATAAGCCCCCCAAATCAATGAAAAAACACCATTCTTTGACATTTACTTAGCATAACAATGGGTAAAATTATACAACAATGTAATCTTTAGTCAGGTTTAGAAGTTTTTCTTAACATAGATAACTCCAAGAACTATAATTTTATAGAAACTAAAGGACTATTCTCAGTTTATTTCTTTTAACATATGTGGATGACTCTGGAGGTGCTTACTCAATAAACCTTTTCTTCGCTTTTTATTTTCTTTAATCTCTTTATTCTTATTTCTTCTACCCTCCTCTGTGATGTACTCTTCCATTCAGGTTATGTGCTAGATGCTGGAGGTTTGCCTGTCAGTTAGACAAATATCCTTCCTCTTCTTGGTGATAATGTATTTTAATGGGAACCACATTGACAAAATAGTGTGTTGAGTTATGAAGAAAAAGTGCAGTGAACTTGTAAGTGCTTATACCAGAGAACTCTGGCATGGGCTCGACATGTAGGTAGGTCAGAGACAAAAGGACCGGGAAGATCAGTGACATGAAATGAGGATTGAGATATTGGGGTAGGCCAGATCATACTTAGCTTTCTAGGTACGAAAAAGATTTTGTTGTTTTTTTTTAATGGTGGTGGGAGCCAATAAAGGTTTTAAACAGAGTAGTGTCATGATCAGATTGTATTTTAAGAAGATCACTCTGGCAATAGTATAGAAAATTATTTGGAAGGAACCAAGAATAGATGTGGGGCAAGAGATGATGGTAGCTTGGACTAGGGTGGTAGCAATAAGTGGACAGATTTGAGCAATATTTAGAAGATAGAGTCTATAGGAGTAGCACAAAGTGTCTGATTAAATGGTGGGTAGATTGGTCAGGGAGAGATGAAGTGAAGCATGACATTACATGGCTTGGACAAAATAGATGATGGCACTATTTGCTATCATACTATAAATATTAATATATAAAGCCTTCCATTGGACCACCTCTCTGCCCTGGAGGGATTCTGGATAAATATGGGAGGCTGGTTGGCTCGGCGCCTATAGCTCAACGGGCTAAGGCGCCAGCCACGTACACCTAAGGTGGCGGGTTCAAATCCCCAGCCTGGACCCGCCAAACAACAATGATGGCTGCAACCAAAAAATAGCCGGG